GAGGTAACAGAAGAAGATTCAAATCATTTTGATGTCGTTGCATTTAAATGAGATAAATACTTTTTATTTTTCTTCTTTATATATTGTATATATGAAAAGGTTTTACCTTAGCAAGGAAGTAATTATATATTTCCTCAAAAAAAAAAAAAAAAGAAGAAAACTATCACTGCCAACAAAAAAAAAAGGAAAAAAAAAGTATATGTTTCCTCAAAAAGGAAAAGTGAAAAGAAAGAGGAAATACGCTGCTACTAATGAGCATTTTTAGCAATTCGATTGCTGTCAAATATCATTATCAAAGATCTTTAATTTCTATGTGTTGGCTCTTAGAAGAGTTGACATCATATGTTGACAAGTGGCTACAGAAGCTTCTAAGTTTTGACGTACAGAAACTGGATGGATGAGTCAACAGTAGAATAATAAGGCAAGAAGAAGGCATTATTGTCAATCGAAGATACATGGGAATCAGAACCAAAACCAAAACACAAATAGGAATCAGATACATGGGAATCCCTTGTTTTACTATGGGGCAAACACTACATTATTATTATTTTTTTGTTAAAAAATAAATAAAAACTTTAATAAACAACTTGGGTTTCTCATGAAATATTAACCATTAACAGAAAGGGCAAAAAAAAAATGGGAAAAATCAAAAGTTTCTTTGGACAAAGTTACAAGCAGAATGAATGTTGGTCGAACTTTTCTAATACGATCATGTCAAGAAAATAATAATAAAATATAATTCAGCATCGTTTAGAAAAGCAATTCTTTGTGATGGGAGAATGGTCAAAGCCATGTCGTGGTTATCGTGTGTAAGTAATGACTGCAAGGAATTAATAATATCATATCGTGTTTTTGGCTTATACTACTAAGTACAAACGCCTGCAAAAGTGTCAACGCAGGGCGGGCAAAAAAGAAAATTGCTATGAATACAGCCCTCACTACTGTATCTAGAAAACTTTCTTGAAGGCCGGCAATTAGATGGTTAAGTACTCGTAATTATCATGTACTTGGTGAAAAGCCAAGTACAAAACTATTGCCTCAAAATGATTAAGACAAGACAATAAAGAGGCAAGGGGCCCGACTAATGAGAAAGATTTAGCTTTCTTTTCCGCAAAAAAAAAAAGTACTTACTGCTCAATTCACGGCTATGTATTGAACTCGAACTTGTGTGGTATTGACTATATTACTAAATTAATGTTGCTCTCTCTCTCATGCTGTTTGAATTAATCATTTGGATTAATTTTTAATTTTGTCAGAAATCCTTTGGCAAAAGTGCATTCTAGCTTTTCTTTTCTTTATCATTTTCTCTCTACTTTAACTGCAATAATTTTCACTTTACTTTTAAGTTGGTGGGCTTTCCCTAAAATTGATAGAAAGTGAATTTATTAGCATTCAAATAACTGTTGTGTGCTGCATCTTTTTGAGATGCTAAAGGAGGCACGAAACTTCTTGATGGATGGTATTCTACTTTTTAGAGTTTGAATCACAATTATATTCTTGGTGTTGGGAGTCTAACTTTGCACTCTAACAAAAAACCAAGTGCTCATTTTTATATTTAATAAGTTTTACTTGCATGGTCGGTCTTTTTCGAAAGAAGAATAAACAATGGCCACTTACATTTGATTTTTTGCTTTTGCTTTCTCTTGCTTTTGTAATTGTGAGATCAACTTTTAATGCTCAATCTCATTCTTGTCCAAATACTTGTATCATCAAAGACAAAAATAAAAAATAAAAATAATATGTCGTACTCTTTTTAAAGCAAAAAATTATTAAAAGGTGATTGCTTTACTTTAATAAAGGCGACTTTGTACTTGTAGTGGGGGTTTCTTAATTAATTAATTTGGTGTGAATACAACAATTTTAAGAGAGACATTTGGAAAGAAAAGGCAGAAGAAATAATACCACTTTTAACATTATTGGTTTTGGATGTTGCATCCCAACAACACAAACTTTCATTCAGATTTAGATAAGCTATTAGCCATCTTTTCTTTGCCTCGATCACAAGGGTGAAAGAAAGTTTGGTAGAGTAGTATTATTTGGAATAATTACTGTAGCACTTTTTGTGATGTGATGTGATGTATATAAGATAAAAAGATAATTGGGAATATAAAAGGTAGGTTGAGAAATGTGTTTATGATGCAAGCGATATATTATTTGAGATATTTGTGGTATCCAAACACTTTGGCATTGAAATCTCGACCTCAAATATATCCACACATTTTTTTTTCCTTTTGAGATTTAAATTGTATATAAGTTTCATATTTATGTATTTGTATCATGTTTGATCGATGTACTTACTGTTATTAGTGCAGATATTGACATGAAATTATCATTTTTTTTTATATAAAAAGATTAGTTTTCAAGTATGTTTGTGAGAAGTGCAGGGCATGGTGAAATGGAACCTTTCATTCTTACAATTACAAAATCATACAATTTCGAAGCCTTGAAATGAAATATTCCTACCTCTGTTTCCTTTATTTTTCCCGGGCCAGGGCTAGTGACGCAAGGAGTGATGCAGTTTAGAATTCAATTAGCACCCTAAAATACTTGCATTATTTGATTTGATCATCTTCTTTGCTCTCCTTAATACTTTTTGTTTATTTATTTCACAAGTAAAACCGCAAGACAAGTGTCCAATTTGAAACATTCAGCTGATACAGTAGTAACTTCCCAATTTGGGACTTCCACAAAATTTTTATGATTCTGAGTCATACCCTTGGTCCGTTCACTTTTGCTTGAATTCAACTTATTCTGCAGTTTGGTCTCTGTTTATTTTTTTTATTAGGGAAAAGGGATTGAACTTTCCCTGGTTGGTATTGGTAATATTTGGTCAACAGGGCTAATCTGTTGTGTTGCTAAAACGCGTTACACCTAAATGCATCACGGCATATCTTTGTTGATAGAGAGTATATTTGTTTATCAGGAAATCTTGTATATACTGACGGTGTATACATTATTATATATGTAAAATTTGAGTTTCAATTTTAAATTCGGATTATATTATCACGGTTAGATATACGATACATGTGTAAAATTTAAGTTTCAAATTCAAATTCGGATTATATATTATGTATTTAACGGTGAAAGTGTATACATTGTCAGTATATATTTATTGTGATTTTTTTTTTGTGTGTGCGAATGTAATTTAAAATTAATGACAGGCACATCAAATATTTGTTCTTTCTTTTTGGTTATAGAAGACAAGACATCATCAAGTTTAAGCCTCGTGGTCTGTTTGGCTTTGGAACTTTATACGTATGACGCAGTCAAGCATTAACCACACAGGTGTCCCTTTCCTTGCGAAACTATCAAGGAGGATCTAGAAACCATTGGCTGATTAATGAAAACATCTAATTGAAAGCCTATATCAAAGGAGGATTGAGTGTCTGATGAGTTTTGGTTTGGTGTAGATGTGTCTCATATCACGATTAAGGATGGCAACGGGCCGGGTTGGGACAGGAGACCCGTTGCCTACAAATTCCCCCCAGCCCCACCCTGTCCCCCACACCCCTTTCCCCCGCCTCACTTCTCCTGTGGTTGCCTCCGTGGGATTAATAAAAGTTTGTTATATAATTTTATTATAGTTAAATTTTAGCAAATAATCAAGTACTAAAATATCAACACATTACCAAATTATTATTCATTATAATTTCACAATTGAAACTTATAAAAACAAACAAGCAGAAGTTGTTTGAACACAATCCAACATGATGAAATAAATACAACTAAAGTAGTCGAGTTTTCACTTTTGACACAAATACAATCACTAATTCATTATTGTGCTTGTGCTTTTTTGTTTTTTTGAGAAAAAAATGTTATTGTATTAAGTGCAATTAGAGATTTAGTATAAATATATTAGTAAATTTAGTATAACCAATTAATAATTTGTATTAGTACATATATATATAATTATTAGTATAATTGATAATATCAATTATATTACATATACTAATATGCATTATATAATACATATAACTAATAATATCATTATCATAAGTTTGTAACTAATTAAATTATATATTATATATATAATTATATACATGCATATATATATATATTATATTTATTTTGTTTCTAAGCAGCGGGGAAAAAATTCCCCTTGCCCCCCACGGGGCGGGTGGCCGCGCCATTGCCATCCTTAACTACGATAAAGGACCTATATCTATCATTATGAAGATCAATAAAGATGCATTCATTTTTTTTTCTTGCTGATCGGTTGCTGTATTATTTGGTAGTTGATCGTTTGTGTATTGTAAGAATAGACAAAATTTTGTGTATTAATAAATGAACAATATCTCGATGATCGATTGCTGTATTAATAAACAACATTTGTGTACTGCAAAAAAATACGATACATGGAAAATTCAGAAAAAAAAAATGCAAATGCAGTCACATTTATATTCTTATAATTGGCTTAACACTCGTGTACAAAAGAATAACAATCAACTCCTGAGATTACTAGTCTTATATTGCTGAGACAACATAATGCAGAGCAAAATAGTCTACATGCTTCCATGATCATTGTACTCAGAGAAGTATGAGAAAAAAAAAACCCTTTTTTTCCTTCACGAAATTATAAATTTGCTCCGAGTCTGAGCATAATGGTGTTTACAAACATCGCATGCATGCCAACAATTAGTTACAAGTTCCATACGTATCGGAGCTGTTGGCAAAGCAACTGATTTTAATGGTTCTTCTTTCACTTAACGGTTCATTGGTGCATCAATTTGTAAGTGTATGCGTACTGAAAATGGGCCTGGCGTATGCCATTACCAAACTTGTTTGTTAAAGAGCAGTATTGCTAATGATCAACTCAAACCCACTGGGCTATACTCAGCCAGCCCAGTGGGTAACTACACCAGAGAGACCGACGAGAAGGCCATTAAGGGCCTCTAATAAGTAATAAACCCTTTTAGAGTCCATCCAGTGATAGGCTAGAAAGCTCAAGCCTCCTTTTTTTCACTTAGCCTTCCTTTTTCAACATATAAGACTAACAGCCGAAGGAGGGTTACTGTTCACAAGCTTTTTCGTCGTCCTCACGTGCTCGCCATCCTCCTTCGGCTCGGCTCTTCTCATCATCTCGTCTCATCTCACAATAGCAGCCAAAATTTCGTTATCTTCCCTTTCACCTCTTTTCATCTCATCTCATTAATGCACGCACATGCTTTTCCATTTTTGCTCCTTCGTCTGCTCTGGTTATGAATGGGTGGGCTGAGAATCTTTCTTAATTGGAATAAGGCGTATCACACAATGGATTTTATCCTTTGGATTTATGGCCTCCATCCTTTACCTGAGATTTCTTCTCTTCTACCCAACAATTGGAGGTACGATTCTTTTTCTCCTTCCTATTTCAGTTTTTGGCTCTTCCTCTTTATGATTGTGATATTTTTCTAGGGTTCCTCTCCCAGCTGTTTGCGTTCTTGCGGAGGTTGATTTTTTGTCGGAATTTTCTTCTGTGCCTTTTTCCTTTTTCTTTTCTTTTGTTATATTTTCGCTTGCATGCTGAATTTTACAGATGTTGTTCTTGTCCTTTTATGTTTTACGTTATTTTGTTGTTTTCAGGATAGCCTTGTGCATTTGTCTTCCAAATCTGCGTGGAGGTACTATCTTTTCCCCCTTTTTTTTTTGGCAATCGCCTTTTCGTTTGAGCTGTCTTTTCCTTCTCCTTTGAACCGGTCTCTTTATGCCTTTCTTTCAATATGCTCTACCTATGTCTCGCCTGAGAGAACACCTTGATGATTTTTCCCCAGATCTATTGTTTCTTTTCTTTCCTTCTTTCTTGCTCCCGGAGTTCGAGCAACTACCTAATCAGCTGCTAACTCAGATCATCAGATGGCTTTGTCACTAGCTCTTAAGCGGCTGGTCTCATCGAACAGCCTTCTCAGCCGGTCTCTCAATCCCCTCCTCCGTCCGGCTGCTTCCGCTGCGTCATCAAGTGTTTTCGACGTCGTCGATCGCCGCTCCGATCGTCCTCTCGACCATCGCCGCGAATTATCCTGTTTTCCAGGTAATTTTTTTTTCTTTTTTGCGCCCCCACCAGATCTATAATCTGTCTCTTCTATGTATATAATTTGGGGGAATTTTCATCATAGCCTCTGATCTTGTCCTGCTTATCGCCAATTGATATAGCGCAGCGGAAATGAAGTATGGGTCCCTTTCTATTTTTATTTAAATTGACGATTTTTCGACTGATCTTTTATTTTTAATTTTTTTTTAAAAATTTTTTTGTCTGGGTCTTTAATGCATTTCCGCTAGATGTCTGATTTGTTTGAAGCTTGTGTTTGCTTTAGTCTTGTGGTGGGTGATTTTTTTTTTCTTTTTAGTTAACTGCTTTTCTTATTTTTTCAAACTCTATTTTTTTTTTTGACCTTTTTACCTTGGCTAATAATAATTGAAGCCTTGATTATACTCTGTTTTTCTACCATTGTTTTGGGTCAGGCAGGATGAAGTATATTGTTTCTGCCAATAATATACAATTTTCTTGCTTAGTGGTTTGGATTCTCATGCACTTGATCTCGTGCTTTTTTTTTCCTTGCTCACTTTGACTTAGGATTTTGCATTTTGCTTGCGGTAGAAAGTGATTTCTTGTATGCGAAGTAACTTTTACAGTTTGTGCTCGCCAAATTGACAGAATTTGTGGATGTACTGAACATGCTTTTAAAAGCTTTACCAAAGTGTAATTCTTCAATAAAGTTTAGAATGTTTTAGTCTTAAGGTTCACTGAGGATTGGTGCATATTGGGATTAAGAAGACGCTAACCTTTAAAATGATTTTTTGGATAATTTTGGGAGGTGAATATTATTTGTGGACTTTATGTCATATTCTTGGTTAAAATGTGTAACTGGAAAATCAATGTTTCTAAACTAACCCACTCGGGGAAGTGTAAGGCAAAGAAAGGAAAAAAAAACTGGATTAAATAGCAAATAGAAGTATTTATGCTGGTACAGATCTAAGCTTCATTTTCATTTTCCCATAGCTTTTTCCTTTATGATGTTGGAAGTTGTGAGAACATACTTCTTGTGTACAAGTAGTTGAAAGATTAGTACTCATTTCAAAGCTAATTGCTATTTGTGCATCCTTTGTTTGTAGGAAGTATTGGAGTATGCAGATAAAGACTGCATGAAACAAGGATTCCTTCACTTGTTCTTATAAGAGGAAATAGCAAAACTGGACAAATTTGTTACTAATCACTCCCTCAAAGTTGGTGATTCCCCAATCTAGAACAACTTTTGCTATTATTATCTTCACCAGGAAAGGCATAGAAAAGTTGCAACCCAGGCATTTTAGCTTCAAAATTTAGCTTGGAAAGGCATAGAAAAGTTTCGACCCTGCATTTTAGCTTCAAAATTTAGTTTTAGTCAGATTCTATATACTAAGAAACTATATCACCTCATGGTGATTATTGATATTTATATTGTTAGTGAAATCTGTAGTAGACCCTTCATGGTTTTTCCGCTTTCAGTAAGTTTTGAGTTACCATATAAATCAGGAGAATTTGGGATATGGTTTTCCCGCTTTCAATTCATCATCAAAACCACGTCTACAGGGAAGCAGATTATGAGAGGACCAAATTGTAGTGTCTTCAAATAATGCCCTCATGACCAACAACGGATGCAAGCCAGCACTGCTAGGTACGACTGTGGTCAACAATCTGAGGCATTGATGTGTTCAAATCAGATTGCAGAGCAGGGTGCTCTCGATTGGTTTCAAATGCAGTGTTCTGAGCCCTTCACTGACAAAAAATTTCACAGCATGCGCAGCGACGCAGGCCCCAAAGCATCTAATGGTAGCTGAGTTGACGATCACTTTTAAAGCAACTGTATTTGATGACAGAACAAACATATCAATTATGATGATCATGGAAGAAGGAAATTCCCATACCGTCATGGCGATAAGAAAGATCTTAAAGTAACTGGAAACAAGCATGGTAAGGGCTGTATCTTTGCCCTTCAGAACTCCAACTGAAGTATTCAGAAACTTTGCAGAACCGATGAGTACCACAGACATAAACAAGAAATTTCCCAAAACAACATCAATCAAGATCTTTACAGAACCGCAATACTGCAGGCTGCAGCAAAGCTCATTAACGAAGTGCTTTCTGAGTCATTCGCATTTAACACCCAATTTCTGTAAGAATCCAGCATTAAAAAACCCAATAGTAGTTTCCACATTAAACACTCAGAATCCAGAATGTCCCTGGTGAACATATTGTAGAACAAATGTCTATATGCCTTAGGCTTGTGCAGAATCAAATCAATTAGAATAATCATGACTTCACACACAATATATTCATCAGCCACCTTTTTGCAATTCCCACATTTCATGAGGCGGATGTTTCGGGGAGAATACTGAATGTAGAGACTCTTGATGGGAAAAGAACATTCAACACATCTAAAATCGCTCTTCTCCTCCATCCTTTTGGTCTGTGATGCTGTCTAAAGGTGTGTTGAGGGCTGGCATTGGTGGTTCAAAGTAAGAACTATTCCATTGCACTTTATACTTTTGGTTGTCCTGGAGTGTCTCCTTGTTCTTACGGGTGCAATAATTGAAAGAATTAGAGGAAGATTTAACCGGGTTCATGGCATCATGCCACCCGAAAGAATCTATGGCACCCACTTATTACATACAATAATATCAAGTTTTTATTTTTCAAATTATATACCCACTATATATTCTTTATGGGCATCCATTATAAATTGTCGCCGCGCGACGCGCAGCCCATGCCTCCTAGTTTCACTTAAAACAAGAGGAAAGAAATTTGGTAGTCGGGCCTTTCAGATGACAGTTTGGGCAGGGTTGTCAAATTCAAAACTGTGCATGGTAATGGTAAAGTTTTTTTAATGCGAAAGTAAGTATATATATATATATATATATATATATATATATATATATATATATATATAGTGATTACTATCTAATGTATTCAAACTTATTATAATTTTGCTAGTATTAATTTCATGACTGTGGATCTATCTGAATGGCATGGAACTTGTAATTGCTAGCATCCGGTCCAGGTAAGACCATGGGATTTGGCATTGTAGGGATGTTAAGGTTCTTGGGATGTGCTCTAGGACGTGGAAGTGTCAGGAGGGTCAGATCCAGAGAAATTGGGTTTTTACTATCTTTCTTATAATTTCGTTTAGAAGTATAGTCGTCATGCATAGTTCTCTCTTCATTGAGGATATATATATATATATAGATTATAAACTAATCAATTCTTAAGGTTCTTTTCAGCTTATGGTTCGTTAGTGTAACAAATTTTTGATCGAGTAGCTAATAAATGTTCCAAAACGTTGTATGGTATGTTTGTCTTTCTCAAAAGAACATTGCTGTTGCACTAAATTTCTAGCTATTATATTGTCTTTCACAAGGAACAAGTAATTCCCAGGGCCTTTTTTTTAAATTTTTCTGTAAGGTGAACTAAGAAGGAGAAAATTCGTAATTTTGAAGCAAATTCATCTATTATATTTGTCATTTGAAATAATGCATGATTTAACCAAAAAAAAAAAAATTATGCGTGACTAGTATGCAATGAATGCTATATTTTTCACGTAGTATACAACTACCATCGAGATTTGTAGTGGCATGCATCGAGTTGTACATGACTAGACTACGTGAGATGGTAACGAGAATAATTCATGAGCTCTTTATTATTATTATTTTTGGTATAAACCACAGATATCCGTATCTGTTTGTGACTAATCCTATTCGAGTCGGGTCGGACCCCATAGGAGGGTAACTCTCCCAACGTCATTTTTTCCATTCCCATGGGAGTTCTTTTTTAGCTTGCTTTAAACAATTAACTAATATATAAGCATCTAAAGAATAAATTTATCTGGTATGGATACGGAATCAATCCATTCTGAAACGATCTATTGAGTAGAAGCATGTTCTGAATTGGAAGGAGATTGAGCATTGAAAGTTAAATGTCTTGACTTACGGGTTAGGTGTCCAATGACGACGCTCGTTAATATACCCATATTACATATAACTTACTATTGAAAAAACGTACAAGTAATTATTACCTTTTTCCTTATATTTATACATTTTTTCCTTTTTTCGTTCAGCAAATTAGCAATAATTGCAAGATAAAGTGGCAGTAGAAGTCACTAATTCAATCTTCAGAAAGGTGAAAGATAAACAAAGAACGCCTTTGGAGAAGAAGGAATTCTGATATCAATCAAGAATGATCAAAGATAAGTGAAGAACACCTTTCGAGAAGAAGGAATTCTGGTATTATTTAGTAATGATCAAGAATGATCAAGGACTGATAGCAACAGCCAATTCACTAATTAACTTGTAACAATCAATCAAGGAAATGAAGATCACTGATATGATGTAACATTGCATGAGTTAGTTCATCTATCTTACTTATTTCATAAGGACTAGCTGATGCATTTTTTAAGTATTTTACATGATTTTTTTGAGCAATTGCCAATATACACCACACACACGGATATATATATATATATATATATATGTATTGCAATTGACCTTTTTGACTTATAGATGATGATCAGGCAATGAAATAATGATAATTTGCATTACCATTACTGTGCTTGATTTTATGAAGACTAAACTTGACTCAACTTTTTTGCACGGTCTCACTACAATGATAGTTTATATACAATAAGAATAGAAAGGGAAAAAAAATCAATTACTTAAACCTGAAATCAATATAACCAATGAAAAAATTTCAAATCGAACCGATGACCGATTTTTTTCATTATATACGTTTAGAACATTTATATATACTCTGGGAATTTGTAGATTGCTTTGCCTGATAATTTAGATTAAACTTCTTGCAAAACTAACATTAATGTACTAAAGCTCCATGATCATACACTACACGAAAATTGATCATTAGTATGAAATAACACAAAGCATGCAATATTGCTATTGGTATGAAATAACTCCTTTTTATGGAGTATGTAAAATGAAATGAAATGAAATGATACAAGGAAGGAATGGATACAACGGGGTTTCCGTAATTTGCATGTGCGTTTGGTCACTTGCCTTCAAGGGTTACCGCTTATCACCCAGACCTGTGACTAGAGGTGTCAAAATGGGTGACTTGGGCGGGTTTGGGTTGGGTAAAATGGGTAATGGGTATAAGTGAGTCAACTCATTTATACCCATTTAATTAGATGGGTATAAATGGGTAAGTCAAAAAATGAATTGGGTAACCCAATTACCCATTTATAACTCATTTATTTTAACTTTTTGCAAACTCATTTAAATTCATTTTTGCAAACTAAGTTATCAATTTATACCACTCTTTGTACCCATCATTAGTTTTAAATATTTACTTATAATGTTCAATAAACTTAATTACCAATTTTTTTCATTTATACTCTATGTTACAAAATTACCTATTATTTAATAATTGAATAATACGAATATAAAAATTTGAATTAAGTACTATAAAAATTAATATAAAAACTTAATCCAAAAGTTTTGAACCCCTAACATTTTTTTCATATATAAATTTAAATTTTCATTTTATAAAGATAAGAAAATAGGCTAAAATTTATCATAAATTGGTAATGCTAAAAAATGAGCAAGTTAACAAACTAAGAAAAAATAAAATAATAAGATAAAACCAACAAATAATAATAATAATAATAATAATAATAATGTTTACATCATGACAAAATGAAAAATTTGAAAAAAAAGGGTAGGGGGAAAGAAGAGACTTGGGGGGAAGAGAATTTTAAATGGGTTAATTGGGTTTGATGGGTTACCCAATAATACCCATTTAATAAATGGGTATTATTGGGTAACCCATTTATACCCATATACAAAAATTTAAGATACCCATACCCATCTATTCATGAGCGGGTATGGGTAAATCTAGTTAAGTGGGTTGATTTGCCACCTCTACCTGTGACGGAGGCAGATAGACCGTCAGCGACGGAGCTTGGATTTGTTGCTGTGGGGTGGAGAAAATTATCATTTTCCGTGTAATTCAAAACTATGACTTTTATATTATTTTGTCTAATGCCTAACTATCTAAATCTTGATATGTGATTGCATCTCAAAGTAATGAATATTAAATCAAATTTCTGTCACAACAAGTTTTTTGTATCGCTAGATTATTTTCAAAAACTAATTTAATTTAGCTGCATGAAACACAAGAACAAAGCTGCATGCTTATTCATTATTAGTTCTACACCTGCACAAGTTATTTGTTAATGTAGATAGCTACTTTGTCCCTGTCCTCACATTCTTACAATCTATAGGGAAACAATTACAAACTTTGAAAAGCAATCATCTTTCAAAAGACAAATTGAAAATCACAAAAAAAAAATGCAAATTTTGATTATTTTCTAATTTCAGACTTTCAAAAACAGTCATATCCCAAAATATAAATTGAAAATTTAGAGATAATATTGCTCAGTAGATGTACATGTTGGTTTTGTGTTTTTGGAAGAGAACTCTAGCAAATATACAAATTTTTTAGTTTCAACTTCGTATACACAACATAATTAATCTTATAGACATTAACAGCATATAGAATATCATGGCTAGATACACAATACATATACAAAAGTATATTTCAAATTAAATTCAAATTAGTTGTCATCATCCAATAATAATACTATATACGCTGTTAGTATATAAAAGATTAATCCTATGCATTTGAAACTAAGTACTTAAATTTGAAATTTTGTAAATAAAAGGTGAAGATTAAAATGAAATAATTAACTAATAGGTGGATGCAGTTTAGCTTTAAACAAATTTTTTTCTTGATGTAATGTACAAAGCTTAACATGTCAATATGGGACCAACTCTACTTTGCATGTTTGAATTTATATCATTTTTTAACTTTACACCCTAAAATTTAATTTTGGACACCTTGTTCCTTAAACTCTCAATTTTGGACACTTTGCACCCTACATTCTTAAATTTGTCCCATTTAAATCCAATCAATAACAACTTTAACAAAATTAACAGCATAGAGGACCCAACAATTCAATGTCAATATATAGAAAGTGGTCAAAATTGCCAATCTATTGTAGTAAAAATAAAACAATATATTTCATTAATTTGGACCATCTTTTATCTCATTAATTTTACCAATAATATTAGTGATTATGATCATATAAATCAATAACAATGTATTTAAAATAGTTAAAAAGCCAAGGAATCGTGCTCGGGTCATGATATTATCATTAATTTTCACCATTCTTTATTGTGTTAATTTTGGGAATGTAATTATTGATTGTACTTAAATATGAAAAATTTGAGAGTAGCAGGTGGAAAGTGTTTAAAATTGAAATTTAGTGTGC